CTGCAAGCAGCAGGCTGTCACTGACTCAGCAGCGGCTGTGAGGAGGAACGCGCTGCCGCACAGATCCCTGACAGGTTGACAGCCGCCAGTGACAGCAAGCAGCCTGTGATGCCAAAGTGACCCAGGCGGCCTGAACGACACCTTTGTTCCTCGCCCTGGCCGCCCTGTGCCCCGTGCTCCAAACCGGCTGCCTTGTTCATTATGGCGATAGTTCCGCCACTGCCTCCATACTTATCCTCCAAAAATTGGCTGGGTTCAGGCTTTAAGCAGTCATCATCGTATTTTTTCAAACGTATGTATAGATTTATAATGTATATACTGTGTATTGTAATATATATATATATATATATACATACATATACACAAACACACACACATGAATGCTTATATATGGGTTTTTTTTGAGTAAGCTAAAGAATCATATGCAAAGTTCATCTTCCAGTAATAGAATCAGCCTTCACGATCCTACTTCCGTAAAATCAGACATCATCCTTGCTTTGTGCACTGCCTTTTAATTAAGCCTGCCTGCGTAACATTGGCACGCTGTATTAAACACATATATAAGCCATTTAGGCTTGTTGAGTAAAATTCTGCAGGTATTATTCTTTCATGCCACAAGATGGCAATCTGAAAGTGCAAATATTTTTCAAGCAGCAATGTGAACCTTGCCGTTAGAAGAATCAATTAGAATGACCCCACCTATTTACTGTAAATATGCATCCGTGTACAGGAAAGATAAGATCATCCTAAATGGACTGGATTGTGAATATAATAATAATAATTATTCAAAACATATATAGTGACACCTCTGTGCTTGTTATTTGTTACATGATTTTCAAGACTGTTATTATATCATTTGATTACAATAGTTGTACATTGTAGCTCTAAAGCAATTATAATTAAAACTGTTATAAAATATGCCCAAATCTAAAACTAGTAAATGTTCTATCTTTTTTGTTTGTTTAAAACACTTGTGAGTCATCCGATACTTTGACAATGGCTCTTAGAACATTAAAAGCATGCATAAAATGGTATCATACTTCAAATTTAAGTTGAGCTGAGTAATATGCCTAACATAATGCAGACATTATAAGCCAATTTAAAGTGTGACCAAAGCAGTGTTGAGGGTTAAATAGTTTTAGGGTCCGAGGTTAAGTTGCTAAATGTAAGAACTAAGGTTGAAGGTTAAGTGTCCATTTTCTGGGTTAGGTGTTAAGGTTAGAAGTTAATGTAAACCTGTGAGAATATAAATATGGAGACCACTATTTCTGACACCTTACCTTATTAAATATTCTAGTTGCCTGGTTCCCATGCTCATTTATTAACTTCAGTATGTTCTTAGCCACTGACCTAAAATAAGTAAAGCAGACTAGGAGTTCTTTATTAGCTCTGACCTTACTGGTTACATGCTTGCTCAAGGTCAGTGCCTCAGAAAAAAACTGAAACCAGAGACAGCCAGGCAACCAGCATTTCCAGAAGGAGGTTAGCTATGGCAGCCTTAAAGTGACATTAAACCCTCAGATTTTTAACATAAAACAATAGTGTAATGTGTGCCTTACTGTAATCCATGGTTGTTTCCCTTCTCTTTGATGCTCTTCCTTTTAAATATGTATCTTTTCTCATGCTTGGAGAGAACTTCCCTTTTCAGCTCAGGGCCTCTTCCTGTAGTGCTGGCTCAGGTTACAGCCTATACACAGACACCGCGTGAGACAAGGCAGTCTGCTGAAAAGGGAAGTTCTCTCCAAGCATGAGAACAGATACATATTTAAAAGGAAGAGCATCAAAGAGAAGGGAAACAACCATGGATTACAGTAAGGCACACATTACACTATTGTTTTATGTTAAAAAAATCTGAGGGTTTAATGTCACTTTAAGATCTCTCTGAGAACAAGTTTTCTCTATTTTTTTCAGGAAAGGAAAGTGATAAGGGTTAGTTTTCCGTGTTAACTTGGGGTTTTCTTTCAGTGTTAGGCAACAGGATAAGAAAAAAAAAACATGACTACTGTACACATCTTATGCTAAATGACTAAAATGACTTCCCATCTTATTATATGACTAAAAAACATGACTAGCCATCTTATGCTACATGACTAAGAAAAAAAATGACTACCCATTTTATGCTCTATGACTAAAAATATGACTATCCGTCTTATGTTACATAACTAAAAAAAAGACTACAAACATATGCTATGCTACTCATCCTATGCTACATGAATACCAATCTTACTACATGACTACAAAACATGACTACCCATCTTATTGCATGACTATAAAACATGACTACCCATCTTACTACATGATTATAAAAACATGACTACCCATCTTACTGTATGACTATAAAAATAGGACTACCCATCTTACTGTAGACTACAAAAACATGACTATCCATCTTAATGTATGACTATAAAAACATGACTACCCATACTACATGACTATAAAAACATGACTACCCATACTACATGACTATAAAACATCACTACCCATCTTATTGCATGGCTATAAAACATGGCTACCCATCTTACTACATGACTATAACAACATGACTACCCATCTTACTGTATGACTATAAAAATAGGACTACCCATCTTACTGTATGACTACAAAAACAGGACTCCCCATCTTAATGTACGACTATAAAAACATGACTACCCATACTACATGACTATAAAAACATGACTACCCATCTTACTACATAACTATACAAACATGTCTACCCATGTTACTACATGACTACCCATCTTAATGTATGACTATACAAACATGTCTACCCATGTTACTACATGACTATAAAAACATGACTACCCATCTTAATGTATGACTATAGAAACATGTCTACCCATGTTACTACATGACTATAAAAACATGACTACCCATGTTACTACATGACTATAAAAACATGACTACCCATCTTATTGCATGGCTATAAAACATGACTACCCATCTTACTACATGACTACCCGTCTTACTACATGACTATAAAAACAGGACTACCCATCTTATCCTTACTCCCATCCTATGATACAGCACAGATGATATTTGAAAATAAACTTATACCAGAGCTGGAATCTGCATTCACCAGGCACATAACACTGCTATTCTAAACATTAGTTTACAAAGAAATGACTGCTTTGAAGTTGTCTATGCTGATGACTGACAATGCATGCCTGGTGTTTGTAAATATGTCATGCATGAAATGTTTAAATAGGAAAACCTTTTGACAGCTTAATTGCTGTAGACAGCATATGGTGCAGAAAACATGATCTGACTGTTGGCTGCTTTTGGTAAAGCCTCTCCTCCCTCTCAATTTTCACTTGTCTTTAATACATGGCTATGAAGTGTGCCAAGGCGTTCAGTGATGAGGACAGGGTCAGAGCAGGGAAGACATCTGCAGAAGGCACATGTTGCAAAGCTGCTTTCTCTTATTGTGTGCATTTCATCGCAGAGTCACATTTCCCACCTGTCACCACAAGGGGTATGCAGGACTCATTGTGAACGTGAAGCTCCAATAATCAAGCTGATCAGTGGGAAGGGTTGAAGGGTGGGGGGGGAGCAGGCTGACAGTTTAGCCTTCAGTGATGGTGTGAAATAGGAGGGCTCCTTGCTGCTGCTAGTAGTGATGCAGCTGCTGTATTAAGAAGAAGCAGCTTCCACATCATCCAGCAGCTCTGGGGGTGTCAGAAGATCCGGGCTGTGCTGTTAGTCTGAGTTGTCTGCCGGCTGGAAATCACTGCTAGACAACACAGAGGAAGAGGCAAAGGGCAAAGCGTTGAGGCACTACACGGGAGGAATCGAAGACTTTTCCTGAGCTCTTGTGGATATAAAGATGGATTTTGTCCCAGCACCGGTCTTTCTCAAGCTGCTCATTTTCTCCTCGCTTCATCACAAGATCGCAGCATTGGCGGGGAGCAAATGTAAGTAGAGCAAACGTTTTACACTCTCGGATCTGATTTGCGTTAATTGAATGTGTCATGCTGTGATTACAACTGCTGTCCAACTGCTGAAACGTTTCCACTGCTAGCAGATCATGGGTACAGGGGGAGCAGCTTCCAGGGCAGGCTAGTGACAGCTAACTTAGTTCCCCCTAAGCCAGCTCGGTTGTACTGTATAGAAAAGTTTCAACCAAGTGCCTATATAATAGCAGTATGTCTCATGCAGAATTCAAAATAGCTAACAGCATCATCAAAAATAAATGTTGCCCTGGGAGAACATTGATGCCTATCACATCAATTCCTTCCCCAAAAAAAGACTAATGGAACCTTGGAACTGGCAGGGGACAGAAATTCGCAACTAGAACAATTCAATACAAAT